AAAATGCGTATGTTTAAAGAATAAACATATGCGGAGTATTTTTTAGAGTATACGTATATATTATGAATAAGACGAATAAGTGAGGCATGTTTGAAATGTTGAAAATATATCGCTTAAAACATTGCAACGTTATTTATTTGTGTTATTATTTGCTTAATTAAAAAAAGAATAAAGAAGACGACTTTTACTTACCAGATGGAGAACAGGTGTTGAACAGACAGCGTTAGAATATAATAATAATAATCATCCTTAGAATATTAGGGTGTGTGTGGGGCAGGGATAGATGATCGGAAAAACAAGGTTGAAATAAAAGTCGGAATATGTCACGGGGCGAAAAATGTTTAGGCACTAGATCAACGACCTTAGGCGTATAGAACACTATTAATTGCAACAGCAATGATGATGATGAAGATAAAACTGTATGCAATTATGGCAGAGGTGGTGGTAGCGATGGTGATCGTATTATTGTTGTTAAGAATCGAGTTGTAGCGTAAAAAGAGAAGCGGAAGGAGAAAATTGTAAAAGAGTAGGAGATAGCGTTAGGGTGAGGAGAGAGACACGACTACTGATAGTGTGGGAGTAAAAATCGAAAAGCAATAATAGAGTGAGCGGTAAGAATTAAAAAGGGTGAGGAGAGAAAAGCGAATTCGTAGAGCAAAGAGATTGAGAAATAATATGGAGTAGAAAAGAAGAAAGAAACATGAATACTTAGAGAGAGAGACAGGAAGCAAAGAGTTAAAAGGTAAACGCGGTACTGATACTGAAAGAAGAGTTAAATAAAATAAAAAAAGAGACAAAATTAGAGGAAAGAGAATTACTGAATGGATTGAGAGATAAGATAACAATGCGAGTATAGGAGTCGTGTTAATAGAATTAGACAGAAAATAATGACTCTTTGATGGTTATCTTATGGTCATTGGAAACGCCATGTTGCGTAATGGAGTCAGTGAAATGATTGCAAGTTGAGACTGCTTGCTCTCTCTCCATATGAATCTTCTTGGAAAAGGCATGAAACCAAATCCTTGAGCCCATCTTATCATCAGATATTTAATCTATCTCATCGTTGGCTTGCGACGATGGTAGAGCGCAAAAAAAAATTACTGACGAAACAGTTAAATATATCGACAACTACCTTGCATTTTTATACTATTGTTCATCAAACACAAGTCCTGAGTGCCACTTAAGCTAGAGGGTTACTGAAGAAGTTTGTTGTAATTTAAAAAGGAAATAAGAAGGGTATACTATGGGAATATACAGAGTCGATAACGTTTGACTCTAGACTTGAAGTGGGTAAAATCCTAGTGATCAGGGAAGCACATTTTGCGGATCTGTTCTACAAAGTAACAGTTCTTGAGAATAAGCTCTCTGCGTGGAACTTCCACTTTACTAATGGAATACTAACATAAGGATGTTAATGCTACTTTGTGTACCTGGCATGGGGGTTCCTATCAGTGAAGGCTTGAATTGGTCGAACTAAGGAATATAATAATAAAGATATTGTTACGATCATTACCAACCTTGACAGATGACTAATGAAAAAACATAATTCACCAGAACCTCATTTATAAGCTGTTAAAGTTGGGCGTTTTTATAAAGTTTCATATTAGTTTGGTTCCTTTTAAAATGAAATCTGATTTTATTATTATCAATACTAACATAGTACCCGTCAAAAATAACGAAATAACCCATAGAGCTGTATTTCTGTCTAGGATCAGTTCAGTATCTTTATGCTCTGCCTAAAATCAAATTTGCGCTCTAGAAGTACTAGTATCAGAATCTAGCGTCCTCCTCTTATATGTTTTCGTTCTAAGCTGCAGGATATTGTTTCCGTGATTCTGCCTTCGGGCATAAGTTTCTTTTAAGAAGACATCTGGAGGATTATTATAAGCTCAATCCTCACTTATGTTCTCGAGCAAGGTCCTAACATTATCTTTTTTTTCTGTCGTTGATATTACTTAACGCCTAACACCTAAAAACTTCGGGACTTCTAGTCCGATGCCTATGAGTTTGAGATTTGTTGAAAATTAAATTTTGAAATCATTCTCAGTCTCTTTTTATATATATATGAACTCTAACATTGCGACTTGCATGTCCCAATATTATATAACCGGTAATAAATGACACATTCTTAAAATAACATTTACTTCGTCTTGGAGTTTTATTTCTAAATGAAAAAAAATGACAGCCTGACGATGAGAACATGAAGTTTTTGAAAGTATTGCTGCTCTAAAAAATACAATTTTATACATAAGGATCGCGTCATTCAATGGATTGTTAGTAAGTTAATGCTTATATTTAGGCCGTTAACGAAGAGAATTCGCCATTAATTACATTAATATTGCTAATTGATTACCTCTTTCTAATATATATATATATATATATATATATATATATATATATATATATATATATATATATATATATATATAATATAAATCAAGAAGATTAAATTTCAAAAAGGTTTTTGGCTATAATTTAGGTTTTTAAATATATATTATGAAAAGCAAAAGTATTATATATATATTTAAAAATCCAGTTTAAGCAAAAACGTTTGCAGATTCTCTCTTCTTTAAAATATATTTTTTTCTCTCGTTGAAATAATTATAACAATTTTAAATATATATATATATATATATATATATATATATATATATATATATATATATATATATTGCAATGTTTTCATCATTAGTTTCAGATGGTCTTTGAAACGTTATTTTAAAACAGTGCGGTGTTAATCCTTGGGGACTGGAAGTTAGAGCAAGTAATCGCAACATTTGGAGGACACTATGGCGTAAGAACATTGAAAGATTTGAAACTAGCCGAACTCAAAAGAAGGAAATTTGGTGCCGAGAATTTAATGATCGCATGGTGCGTGGGCCACCGCCACCAGATGTCAGCATTCTGTGTACAACCTGTGGATGGCAATTTGCGTCTCAGAATGGTCTTCGCAGCCATTGACGCTAACACTGTTAATGTCGTCAACCAATGATTTCTTCTATTCTCATTCTTCTCATTTGGGGGAGCAAACATCCTCATCGACGGCCTATATATATATATATATATATATATATATATATTTCCAAGAGTATGTAATCCAGGTATAGCCCTATGTCGAACACAGAGTAAGAACATAATATAAAAGGCACAAACACTAATACTTCATGGTTAAAAATTTATTACATTTGTAATTGTAATCACGACCCAAATCATCATTCTAATGTAATAAATTATATATATGGAATATTATATATATATATATATATATATATATATATATATATATATAGATAGATAGATAGATAGATAGATAGATAGATAATATTAGTGGTAAATATACACATACATATGCAAAATATATAAATATATATACATAGGTGCATACACATAAATGTATATTTTTTTAATATAAAATTCGAGAGGATAGAATCCAGGTAGAACTCAATATCCAGGACAGAGTAAGGATATAATAAAAGGCTTAAACACTAATATTAGTGTTTAATTTTTTTTTATATATATATATATATATATATATATATATATATATATATATATATATATATATATATATATAATATTCGTCGATTTTAAATCTTCTCTGTTGTTTTTAGCTGATTGTATCGGAAGGAAAAATTGAACCCTGCTTAAGCGCAGTCGTTATTGAACTTATCGATTAAGTTAAGTTATGGAAACAAAAAAAAAAAGAAAAAACTCATATTTATGAAAGAAAAAAGAATGAGAATATGAATTAATGAAGTTGGTATACTATAATAAAAGGAAATAATACAGCTTAATTCATAGTCTACTCACATAGCAAATGATTACTTGTTATATTGTAAAACTATTAATTACCAACCTGACATTGAATAAAAAATATTTAAATAACTAAAATAATATATGGATATTTACTATATTTTGTTTATTATTAACAAATAAGAATTCTTTTCGCGATCTCTAATTAACGATCATTTATTCTGCATGACTGCGATTGCGTGTTAGTGTTACGGGTTAAAGGTTAAATTTAATTTAAATATTTATTTTGTAGTGAAAAAAAATGAAAACTATCCATCCAATGAATAAAGGGTCTGGAAAACTGTAAGGTATGTTAAGTTCAATCAATTTTAAAAAAGAGTGAAACTTGGGTTTAATATTTGTTTCTTTAAAAAGAGTGAAAGTGAAAGAAAGTACAAAAGGATAGATTAAAACGTAAAGAGGGTTGGGGGTATGGGAGAAATCGAATGTTAAAGAGGGGGAAAAACGTGAGGAACAGGTGGAGTTGATAGTATTACTTCGACAGGCGATTAATATATGAATGACGTCACGACACGAGATTTCTGATGGTGATGCGAGTGTCAGTGAAAAGGTTACTTACTACTCTTGCTACTGCTGCTATCGGTTGTGGGAAGCTGGATGACAATGGCTTTTGCTATGCCAACTGAAAAGGGTTGCTAAGAATAATAATCGTAACAATATGAAGAAGAAAAATAAGAAGAAGAAGAAGAGGAATAATAATAATAATAATAATAATAATAATAATAATAATAAGAAGAAGAAGAAGAAGAAGAAGAAGAAGAAAAGAAGAAGAAGAAGGGGAAGAGAAATAATAATATGAAGAAGAAAAAGAAGAGGAATAATAATGATAATAATAATAATAAGAAGAAGAAGAAAGAACAACAACAAGAACAAGAAGAAAAAGAAGAAGAAGAAGAAAAGGAATAATAATAAGAAGAGTAATAATAATTTAGAAGAAGAAGAAGAAGAAGAAGAAGAAGAAGAAGAAGAAGAAGAGAAACAATAATAAGTAATAATAATAAGAGTAATAATAACAAGAAGAAGAAGAAAAGAGAAGGAGGGGAGGCGAAGGAGGAGATGTGGCAGGAGAAGGAGGGCAGGGGGTATGGGGTAAAAAATGTGTAAAGAAAGAATGTTTGTGGAATAAGAAAGCGAGAAAGAAACATCGGTAAGGTTAAAAAAATATTAAATATAGAAGGAAAAAATTTTTAAAAAGCGAAAGCAGGCATTAGATGTAAAAGAAAGAAAAGAGATTTGAAGAAAGAAAGAAAGAAAGAAAGAAACTTTTTTCTTCCTTTGCTAGATGCAAAGGAAGGAAAAAGAAAACAAAGAGAGAAATGCAAAGTAAAAGAAAATAAATATATAATTGTCAAAGAAAGAAAAAAGAAGTTGCATAGAAGAAGAAAGAAAGAAAGAAAGAAAGAAAGAAAGAAAGAAAGAAAGTAAAAAAAATAAAATGAAATAATATAATTACGGCAAAAAAAGAAACAAAAATATACAGACATATATATTCATGTATGTATGTATACGTAAAATATAAGTATAGATAAATATAAGAGAGAGAAGCATGAAGAAAGAAAGAAAGAAAGAAAGAAAGAAAGAAAGAAAGAAAGAAAGAAAGAAAGAAAGAAAAATTAATGAAAAATACAAAGAAAATTATACATATCCTAAGAAAACAGGAAAGCTAAATTGAAGGACCAATTGAGAAATGTCTAAGACTGGGTGTAAGAAAAAAAAAAAGAATGAAAGAATTAATATCGAAAACATAAACAAAAAAATAAAATAACTGAAAAAAACAGCGTAGGAAAACGCAAAATGGAGTCTGTCTGGAAGGGAAATGAAAATTGGTTGAAGGCTTTCAAAATCGATCTAAAAGAAACACAAACTCTGGTAGAAGCGAAAAAATAACAGAAGATGCGTCGGATTTAAAGAAGATAGATCTTGAGCCATGAAAGTGAAATAGAGGATTGTTGTATATAGGAACAGACAGATAGAAAAAGAATGGAAAGAAAACGGTGTGAAACTGATCGCTTGCTGAATAAAATACATGAAATTTATCGCTTAAAAGATACGGCAGGTTAAAAAGATGATTGGCTAAAAAAAAAAGAAAAAAAACCTAAATACGTTTTACTTCCGTCGGCTCGGTTATATAGAATGATATTGAGACAGATAATACTTTGCGAATATTTGAATAGAATATATTTTGCGAAAAAGACAAGAAGAAACATTTAGCAAAAACAGAAAAAAAACATAAGAATGGATGCAATCAACACGAATTCCGTTTCATGGTGATGACATGGATGAAAATCTCTTTGGCGCATTTAATGAGCGTCTCCTGTTATAGGTACTGAGGAAAAAGTGTAGGTCTTGTATAAATATGTGTGCAGTGGCGTAGAAGTTGGTCAAGTGAGAGGAAAGGCGATATATCGAGCGAGCGTGTATGGATAATGAGCGAATCATTTAGCTAGATAGAAAGATAGAGAAAGAGAGACTCAGATTAAGATTGGTAAAAAGATATAAATATAGAGAAAAAGAATTAACATAATAGATTTTTTTTAAAGCGTTTCACCCCAATCAAGGTGGGAAGCCACTAGGACGCAAGGGGTTACAGAAGGTTTAGAGCAAGATCAGATAGGAGTGATAGAGGAAAGGATCAGCAGAAGGATAGTGGATAGATCAAGGCAACTGGAGATGTCGGTTGACATTACATTTGAATAGTTGGAGATTATAGCTCTCAGGGAAACTGGAATAGAGAAGGGAGTTCCACGGGCGAGAGGTGCGAGACATGAAGCAATTGGAGTAGAAGAGACGGTTACATTTAGGAGTTTCGACAGTGAAAGGGTGAGAGCGGGATGCCAGCCTCGTAGGGCGCTTGAACTCCTGAAGTCTGGGAACCAGCGAATGCAGCTCCTCGGAACAATTGCCATGAAAATATTTGTAAAAAAGACAGAGAGAGAGGCGACGGCGCGTCTGTGAGAAAGTGTCTGGAGACGAGATGCCAGAACAGGGCCAATTATATTGCATATCCGCCACTGGAGCCTATCAAGAACCTCGAGGCAAACAGAAGGTGCTCCAGACCATATATGACAGCAATACTCCATGCAAGGGCGAATTGTTGATTTGTAGATCTGGAGGATCGATGCCGGGGAGAAAAATTTCCTGGCGCGGTGAACGAAGCAATTGACTCAATGTATTTGTTCCATCTCAGGTCAGAAATCAACGTGAGACCGAGCAGCCGCAGAGAGGTGCTCTCGAGAAGTTGAGCATCAGACATTTTAATGGGGGGCAGGGAAGGGTCTCTGTGGTGATTAATAGAGAGCAGTTTTGTTTTTGAGGCATTAAAGTTGACCAGCCAATTCCTGCCCCAGTTCACAACCGATTGGAGGTATAGAGAAGATGAGATATCATGACTTAGGTAGATAGGTAGAGAGTTTAGATTGGTTTACATTGAGAAATATAGGTAAAAATAAAGACATGGACAGATTGACTTAGATAAAAAAGACTGAAAAAGAAAGAAAGAAAGAAAAAAAGAAAGGAAGGCAGATACCTATGGAAAAGAAGGAAGGAAAGAAGGAAGAAAAGAAGGAAGGAAGGAAGGAAGGAAGGAAGGAAGGAAGGAAGGAAGGAAGAGATGCTAAAGATGAAAGAAAGGAAAAAGAAAGATGCGTGAAATAGATCGAAAAACTTCTAATTGATATATTCCAAGTAAGAGAGAGAGAGTGAGTGTGTGAGAGGGAGAGAGACTGAGAGTGAGAGAGAGGGACTGAGGGTGAGAAAGAGATTGTGAGAGTGAGAAAGAGAGAGACCAATCAGTAAGGCAGACAGACTGAGAGCTAAATAAAGGCTTTTGCTTCGCTTCATATCGCTCTGATTTCGAGAGCCAGAAAAATTCGGTACTCCGCTCTTTTGCACCAGAAAATTACTAGAAAAGGAAAGCGGTAATAGATGTCCTCATTCAATGGCAAATTCACCCCCCAAAGAGGATCGATGTAACTTTGCTAATCTTTTCGAGCATAAAATATATTTATTTCTATTACTTGTTTGTGAAACCTGAAACTTCCCGCAAAAGCAAATGTCAGAATCGCATTCTCAATGACGAATGGTAACGCTTCGTGATTTCTCCGATGGATCGTCAAACTGCGGTAAAAGTTGACCTGCCTCAATCCCTAAATTATCTCTGGTAACAGACATGTGACGTTGGCTTAAATTACGCGGACATTTAACGGAGTTTTACGATATCCAGCACATTAGTTCAGCATTATTTAGCTTCCTTGAAGATATGGGAACAGAAGTCCTACCATGCTACCTCATTTGGGATAATGACGTCACTAACTGGATCCTGAAGGAACGGAATTATGCAGAGTGTTCTGTTCAGATGCAGTTGTCTCGGCTGACTGTACAGTTCAGATATGGTAGTTCCATAGTGGTGTGAGATGTGTTCATGTGCTATTGGTTGAGTTCACTTCTCCGTCTAAAAAGACATTATTGTTGCACTATTTTGTCAGCCTTTACGTGTATTTATGGGTCCCATGTTGCTCAAGAAGAATGAATTATTTTAGCAGGATAATGCACAGTGTTATCGGGCACGAAATGCCGATAATTAGCTTGTGGAGCATTTGAATGCTGTGGCCACCACGATCGCTTATGAGCACAATCGACTATTTATGGGGTGTGATGGAGGGGTTTATTCGCACACAAGATCCTGCACCTAGCTGTCGAGAAGAGATCATCAAACCATTAACGGAATCAATGCACCTCAAATTGCCGCACTACACAGAGCTAAATGTGTCATGAAATATAGTTTCGTCAGGTTATTGATAGCGTACTGTGTTCTTTCCTCGCAGTGTGTTCCACAGTTGTAGTCTATATCTGCAATGGCATCAGAAGTTCCTCAACTTATTGCGTGTCGCCTGGGTGGGGACATTATCTTTGAAGAAACATATGAGCTCAATCCGTTGGCAGCAGTCTATAGAAAATCAGGGAAGGTTATTCCTGTATAATGCTTCAGATTTAGCCATTTCTTGCCTTGTCAGGGTGGGGACATGATCTTTGAAGAAACATGCGACCTCAATCCGTTGGCAGCAATCTATAGAAAATCAAGGTAAGTTATTCCTGTATAATGCTTCAGATTTAGCCATTTCATGCCTTGTCGATGTAACTTCGTCCTCCATCGGCTGTATCTTTTGGTGATAGTGTACCTGACAACATGACTGAACCAGGGTGATTGCCATTGTTTAATAGGCGACAGAGCTGGTTTCTGGGGATCCATAAATGTCTTGGCCAAGCTTCTTATATATTCGTTTGTCTTTGCTCCCAATACGAGATATGGAGTTGTTTGTTTTGTTCTCAAGCACTGGTCTTTGAATGATTATCCTCTTCCGTCGTCAGCATCAACATCAAACAAAAATACAACAGGATGGATACTTAAAGAATCTGAACTTGGAACAAATATCGCTCTTCCAGGAACTGTTCAGTCTGTCACAGATCTGGCTGCTCTCAGTTGCGAAGATATCAAGTACTTGTTTGTAACTTCTCACTGAGATCTGGAATTGGGATGAATGCAGTGATGGCACATACCCGAATCTATCAAGTTTCAGAATAAGAAATTAATGAACTCTAAACGCCTCAAATACCTCGGTGTATGGACCATTTGTAACAAATTTAGGATAGATCAGAAAATTTTAACATAGGACAGGTGGTGCTGAGAGAAGTTTTGACCAACATCTCTAGATACTACAAAACCAAAATACCAGCTCAAGAACTCTAATAATGCATTTAAATAGTCTCGACTATTTACTAATATTGATGTCATGCATGACGTCCATTTCGTTTAGAAATGTCTAAATCAGGGGGTCCTAACTTTTTGTGCTATCGCCCACTTTCACGTGGAAAGATATTCACCTATAGTAAATATTTAAAAGCATATCAAAATTGTTTGGTAAAAGTTTGTTACTGGTTCATAAGCTAACGTCATGGTGTAGTAGAAAATACAAAGGGGAGGTAACAAATAACACTGCTGCTACTACCATATTGAAGAACTAACGAAAACAAACTTGACCATTGAAAACTATATAAAGAATTAGTTTTATAGTTAAAGTTAATATCCGTTGTTTGCGAGGATATTTATACATTATCTCCTGTTTTGTTTATGCAGGTTCTTTGCATATCTCATTTAAATATCTTATTTTGAAATACCTTTTTAATACTCAAAATGCTATATCGTTCACCAAAATTCTCAATCGCCCGTCAATTTCTGTTCAGTTGCTTATCGCCCACCCAACAGTTGAAATCGCCCACCGGTATCTGATATCACCCAGCTTGGGGAAAACCTGTTCTAGATGATCTACAATCTAAAGTCTAGATACCAATACTAGAATCTACCGAGACGTAAGTTGTTTGAGAATTATTAGTATTAATATATGGGAAGGAATCTCAGCCTTCGGCACTTTTGAAAGTGCCAGAAACCTATACGACGGATTTACCCAAGCATTGAGAGTGAAAATGGGCCGACGGAAGAGTTCTGTCATAAGTCATCAATGTTTTTATTGTACTATAGAAAATTACCAAAATATTCGTTGTTTACGGGGATATTCATATCTTATCTAGAGATGTGATCCAGTTATTACCATTTAGCTTCCTGTTTTTTTTTTATCATTATGCAGGTTCTTTGCATATCTCATTTGAATATTTTTAGGGTAACATATATTGAGGTACCTTTTTAACACTCAAAGTTCTATATTGCCTACTAAAATTCCCACTTGCACCAACATTTTCTGTTCATTTCCTCATCGTCCAACCATCTGTAAAATCGCCCAACAGGGACGATATTGTTCAAGTTGGGAAACACTTGTCTAAATTATTTGCTATATACAACCATAGTTTCAGAGTAATGATTAAAAAAGGATGCAAGGGAATGAAACTTCTAGGTCTTAAAGAAGAAAACCTATCATCAGATCTTATAGACTGGTGCCACAGAATCATAAAGACCTTTATCAAATAATAAAAATTACACCACTTGAAAACTTTCAACTTTTAGCAGCAACTAAAGAGGAAGAAAAATACCAGCAATTTTAGAAAGAGCTATAACATTTAATGCACTCGATAAGCCTATTTTCCTTAAAATCTGTTTTAAGAGAAAAAATTTATAAATTTCAACTAACAGTAATGCTAAGATTTCAGTCAATAAATGTCAACTGTTTTCTGTAAAGAAACGACTATTTTCGACATTACCATTTGGAGCGTTTAAAAATTTTGAGTTGTTCTTCATCCAAATCTGAAACAGTGATTACTTTGGACAAAAATATTTCAGGGCCTCTGCTGAAGCAAATCTTAGTTATGCTGCAATACCTCATTTTGATATATGTAAGGAATACCCACGCAAATTAGAAAAGAAAATAGAGGTACAATTGATAAAGGGTTAGTGTTCTGACTATGAAACCGCGTTCGAATCTCACCATGGTTGATTAATCATGGAGGTCACTTTTAGTTAATATACTCATGGAGAGACGACCCCTGAATAAGGCATCGTGTTGATCTATCTGAAAACCATACCACGGATTGACCAAAGCATTTTGAGTGAAATTGGTTATACGAAACTGTAAAGAAACACACAACATGAGTTTATGTTCAAATCATCCTTATTTGATAACAGGTTTTGAAATCTGGCCGGAATGATGTCACTGATTTCTGTTAAGATTACGAAAATAGATCCATTTTCCATCCTCAATTACAAATCGACTCCAAAACCTGGCATCATAAAGCAGTTGCCAGCGGTTGTTTGCAAAAGTTTACACGACGTTGAGCCTGGTAATAAGTCGGTTCAGGAGGAACTTCCCGACAGCGTCTATTAATAAGGTCGAGAATACTATGTAAACGAAGTTTCAAGTGGAAGCAAAAAGAACACATATCCTTAGAATCAAAAAGAGAAAGTAGAAATTTCACATAATGAGAAAAGAGGGAATAGAAAATGTGACATTCACAGGATATACTGAAAGAAAACAGTGCATAACCTACCTAACAAGCTTGTGTAAATGGTTGGCAGAACAGAGTTTAGGAGAGATAGCAAAAAGACCAAATTTACTAAGAGCTACAAAGAACATGAAATTGTTGAGTGCCATGTTCGCCAACGTTTTGAAGGGACATGGAAGAACCTAAACCATGGTTTTTCACGTAGCATAGTGATATTTGGCACGGCAAGTGTGATTTCAACCCTTAAGAAAAGTATGAATGCATCTCACCTCTCCCAGCTATGGATTAAATAGCAAAGTAGACCGGATTATCTTGCCTTGGTTTATAGCCAATCTAGAAGTAATCTGGATTTAAAACCAGTTGGATCTATGACAAGCAAGTCCACACTTTAAAAAAAAGACTTCTCGCTACGGAAAACATCGTAGAAACCCCAAATTGTGAGGCTGTGGCCTTAGCGAGATGAGGCTGTGGCCTTAGAGAGATGAGGCTGTTTCTCTAGATTTCACATGCAAATCTACTGGTACTAAGTAGGGATTTTAGCAGCGCCTGAAATGTAAATGGTTCTGTGCTAAAAGCAGATTCTTGGAGCAATACGAAAATAAAATAAAAAAAATATGATTAAACATAAATTATGAAGACGGAATATACATGTTTTTTAAGAAACGGGATAACTCAATGTGTGAGTTATATGCCGGGGATGTTTAAATCAAGCAGGTGTAACTTAGCTATCTGGGTAGGATAGTAGATGACGATGAAAAGTCTCACGCAGAAATTTGAAGGAACATGGTAATAGTTAAGAATGGTTTTCAGAAAATAACCCAAGGAATTATTGGAACAAGTATAACCTTAAAACAAAGAAAATGTAATTTCACATCGTCTAAATGACATTGAAT